TGGCCAATCAAGGACAGGGATACCATGGTCCTTGAACCAGGTGCTGGTGGTTTTGGCACTGTGTGCAGGTGCCAAGTCCTGTTGAAAGGTGAAGTCTGCATCCCCATAAAGTTGGTCAGCAGCAGGAAGCATGAAGTGCTCTAAAACTTCCTGGTAGACGGCTGCATTGACCCTGGACCTCAGGAAACAGAGTGGGCCAACACCGGCAGATGACATGGCACCCCACACCATCACTGACGGTGGAAACTTTACACTGGACCTCATGCAACGTGGATTCTGTGCTTCTCCGCTCTTCCTCCAGACTCTGGGTCCTTGATTTCCAAAGGAAATGCAGAACTTGCTTTCATCAGAAAACATAACTTTGGACCACTCAGCATCAGTCCAGTCCTTTTTGTCCTTGGCCCAGGCGAGACGCTTCTTGCGCTGTTTCTTGTTCAAGAGTGGCTTGACACACGGAATGCGACACCTGAATCCCATGTCTTTCATGAGTCTCCTCGTGGTGGTTCTTGAAGCGCTGACTCCAGCTGCAGTCCACTCTTTGTGGATCTCCCCCACATTTTTGAATGGGTTTGTCGTCACAATTCTCTGCAGGGTGCGGTTATCCCTAGAGCTTGTACACTTTTTTCTACCACATTTTTTCCGTCCCTTCGCCTGTCTGTTAATGTGCTTGGACACAGAGCTCTGCGAACAGCCAGCTTCTTTAGCAATCACCTTTTGTGTCTTGCCCTCCTTGTGCAAGGTGTCAATGATTGTCTTTTGGACAGCTGTTAAGTCAGAAGTCTTCCCCATGATTGTGGTGCCTTCAAAACAAGACTGAGGGACCTTTTAAAGGCCTTTGCAGGTGTTTTGAGTAAATCAGCTGATTAGAGTGGCAGCAGGTGTCTTCTATATTCAGCCTTTTCAGAATATTCTAATTTTTTGAGATACCAAATTTGGAGTTTTCATTAGTTGTCACTTATGAATATCAAATTTAAATGTAATGAACATTGGAAATACATTGGTCTGTGTGCATTGCATGAATATAATGTACAAGTTTCACGTTTTGAATGGAATTACTGAAATATTTTCAACCTTTTGATGATATTCTAATTTACTGGCCAGCACCTGTAGTAACTAAACTGGTTTACATACGCCGCTCTCTTCCACACCATAACCAGCTTGTCATCTCCACCTGAGGCCAGGTAGAGCCCGTTGTTGGACCAGCGGACACAGTTCACACAGGCTGCAGGGACAAACACTCACAAGGGTTAAAAACAACAGTTCTGTCATCACTCATGAAATTATACATTTTGCACATTTTATTTTGCAGGCATTAGGCGGATGAGCACCTAGGTGATTGTCCATCTGGCAGAGCATTTTGGGTACATTCTCATTCTTCTCATCTTCCTCTCTAAGAACTGGTGCCATGTTCCAGATCATCACCTTCCCAGAATCCTCTCCTGGAAACAGAACGGGGCACAAAAATATTCCTGATGGATTAAAAGAAACTTTGGATAGAATCAGAAAAGTTAAACTACTGCTGCCGCAGGCGGACGCAAACAACGGCGACGCCTCACCTTGCCCACCCGTTGCAAACTTGGTTCCATCTGGATGGATGTCAACAGAAAATATGGGTTTGCCTGAAAGGTAGAACACAAAGGTGAGCATTTAAAGGTCATAAATGAGATTTTAGAGATGACTGAAAAGTCTATAGAGCTCCGGGAGATGACGTCACGTCTCCCGGCATGCAACAGTTCAAATCGAAACGGCGCCATCTTGGCAGGCAGAAGCCAGCAGCTGGACTATTTGTTATTGTCAGAAAACTCAAACAGGAAATATGGTATATTCCTCATCTTAGGTGTGTTCTTGCTGTGTCGTATCTCGAATTTCATGCTGTCGTTCTTTTAAAACACAGAAACAGTTTTGTTACCTGTTTTCCCGCTACGTTTCGTCTGCAGCTGCAGACTTCCTCAGAGCTGACGCTGATGGTGGCGCGTCACTTCCTTCTCCGTTTATCTGCGGGCAGCAGAGGACGTTGTCGCCCTCTGCTGCCCGCTCTCCCCTCTCCGACGATGCAGTCCCATGCGCGGTCCAACGAGTAAACTCCATCATCCCTGTTCATGGTCCCACATCCACGTCTCCTTATCTCGATAGCTTCTTTTATCCATCTTTTGTATTTCTGCTGTTCGGTGTTTATGATCCTTGTGTTGTCCCAGTCCATTACACGGTTTTCTCTTATGCAGTGATCTGTTACGGCTGACTTCTTTATTGTGCTTTCTGCTTCTTCTTTTGCTGCTCTTGTGTGTTTTCGACTTGTTTCTTTCTCGCACTCCTTTCTGTGTTCTATTGTTCGTGTGTTGAGTTGGCGTCCGGGTTCTCCTATGTATGTTTTATTGCAGAGCTTGCATGGGATTTCGTGAACGACTCCACATTTAAGTCCAGCTGGTATCTTGTCTTTTGGGTGCACTAGTCTGTTTCTAACTGTTGTGTATGGTTTTGTTGGTGTGTTGTCCCAGTCCATATAATTATGGACTGGGACAACACAAGGATCATAAAAACCAAACAACAAAAATACTAGGGCTGCACAATATATCGAAAAATTATCGTCATCGCGATCTGCATCATCGGAGAGGGGAGAGCGGGCAGCAGAGGGTGACAACGTCCTCTGCTGCCCGTGGATAAACGGAGAAGGAAGTGACGCCACCATCAGCGTCAGCCTGAGGAAGTCTGCAGCCGCCGGCGAAACGTAGCGGGAAAACAGGTAACGAAACTGATTCTGTGTTTTGAAAAAAGAACGACAGCATGAAATGGTAGATTCCTGCTGTGCCTCAGGATGCAGAACGACATAAGGAATGAGCCATTTACAGGATTCCCCAAGATCCGGAGCGCCGCAAACGTTGGATCATTGCAGTAAAACGCCCTAGTGACCGGGCTAAAATGAAACTGTGGGATCCCGAGAGTAAAGGTTTTCGCTTATGCAGCGACCGCTTCATATCAGGTACTTAAACCAACGTTTCCTCAACTGTGCAGGGGTGGATAAAGGACTGAAGAACATCCGGGGCTTAACACACGCACACACATGCGCGCACGCACACACACACACACACACACACACACACACACGTGACACGCACTAGTCAACATCATATATATTTGTCTTGTGCCACATAATTTTTAATCTGAAGCTACATATGAAGCATATTCAGGGCAGAGTATTGTTCCTGTTAGTGTTTAGTGTGAGATGATAGTAAATATTCCCTTTCTTTCTCCAACAACTTTACCTGATAAGCTAACTTTAGGCAAACCAGCAGCACAACAAATATTTTCTAATAAGACTCACAAACCTGAGTCAACACCAGTCTCATCAAAGCTGGGGTTCTGTCGCCGTACTTTTGGTCTAAAAACGTCCTTATGTCCATCTTCACTCATGCGTTTCAGGCAGAGAGTGTAGAAGAAGCCGGCTGCTGAAGGGCTTCTTCTTCAGTGGTGGAGGCTCAGGCAGGCTGTATACAAACTACTGCCAGCTGCTCCCTCTCTGTTAGACTTTGGTACTGCATGTTACTTCCACGTTTGAGATCCGGGGCTTTCCATGAAACATCCAGGGCTTCAGCCCAAGTAGCCGGGCCTAACGCCGCCCCTGCAACTGTGTATTGTGTTTATTTTAAATGCTTTTATTACGATTCTTAGTGGGCTTCCTAAACTTATTTTGGCGTGGCTTTTTCTGTCTTATTACTCATAGCAACAAGTAAACGTCACGTAAAACGTTGCCTCGTGAGTTCTGCGTGCTGCCGTTTACGTGTTTTATGATCACAGCAATTAACCGGCTAAGCTGTATTTCTTTTTTAAGCAATGGTTGATCAATTGTCAGATCACACATAAAAAGCACTTTGGATTGCTATTATCTGTCTCACCGAGACAGATCTCAGACAGATCCTGAGACGCTCCTGCCTGACATATTTATTTTATTCACGGAAAAAAATCAGACTAGTGATTTCTCCTGGTGTTCAGTTTATACATTCAAACAGCACAGCACTCTATTTAAACTACTTAAGTGTAAATCTATGTTATTTGTTTTTCTTTAATCAGTTTTATAAATTATAAATGTCAGGGACTCTCAAATCCGGTAAGAAGTCCGCTCCGACAGCTTCTGGCGTTTAAAAAAGTATCCCAGGGGCACGGTAAGGGTCAGAGATGTTTAGTCTGTTTAATTTCTGACTACATGAAACAATTTCTTCTGTTTTAAAGTGTGAAGTAAACTCAGATGGAGTAAAATCCAAGCCGATACTGTTCATTTTGTTTATATTTGTTGCCTGCCAACATGGCGTCTACACTCTGAGAACCACGTGACGTCCAGAGCTCTATAGTGTCCAGATTATGTAACACAACAGTAAACGATAATAAAAACAGAGGTAATCGTATTTAGTCCCGATAATGTTAGAGCAACTTAACTTCCACTATCTGTCTCCTAATGTCACTTCTGCTATAAATGATAAATGACCCGCACTTGTATGGCGCCTCTCAGAGTACGGACTCCAAAGCTTTACACTACAGTGCATCATTCATCCATTCACACACACTGGTGGTGATGAGCTACAATGTGGCCGCAGCTGCCCTGGGGCGCACTGACAGAGGCGAGGCTGCCGAGCACAGGCGCCACCGGTCCCTCCGACCACCACCAGCAGGCAACATGGTGCCGGGATCGAACCTGCAACCTTCTGATTACTGGACAACCCGCTCAACCTGTTGAGCTACTGCTGCTCCGACCCCCAACCTAGGAATAAAAATAGACCCGGTTCTGAAGATGGACGCTCAGGTCAAAAGCACAGTCAGGTCCTGCTTTTACCACCTCAGGCGTATTTCTAAACTAAAGCCCGTCCAGAGTGTCCGTCGTCTCAGCAGAAAGTGACACTTTCAGATATTCTCATGGTGCAGCTGTGTTCTCCAGAGATCAGGGACTAGGACCCAAATGAGGCTGTAAGGCTTTGGCACAAAGACGGTGTCAGAAGCAGGAGGCCAGACTTCATGGACAGAGAAAACAAGGAGTCTGACTAGATTTCAATGAAAGAGTTCATAAAAACATCTCTAAAAATAAATAAATAAAAATAGTAAAAATGACAAAAGAGTTGTTTTTCTTATTAACTGATGTTTTAATTATTTTGTCACTCTGTTTGGAATCAACATAATGTAGAATAACATGCTGTAGGTAGATCTAAATCATTTAGAAGTTTGGTCGGTAAAAAATATGCCTGGCCGGTAGATTTTCATCATCTACCGGCCAACTTGGCCGGTGAGTAAAATATTGTAATTTCGGGCCCTGTTTGCATTACTTGGAAACCCGAGTGAGTTATGGAGACAGTCCTTTGGTGTGTAATAGAGAAATACGTTAGCATCAAAAAGGCAGAGAAAGAAGGGTTTGAGCTTAAGAAAATGTTTATTTGTATTTCTTTTTTGTGAGGGAGATTTATGGGCCATTACATCGGCCTTTGTTAAAAGTTTTATATCGGTATCGGTCCCAGAAAAAGCATATCGGTCGGGCCCTAGTTTTTATATTCTGGTTTTACTTGTTCCGTTGGTTTTTGACTGTTGTTCTTTTAACTCATTTATCCATTTTACTTCATATGATATACACGAATATTTTAGCTTGTGTTTTTTATTATTTGTTTTTCTGTGCAGCGCCTTGGTCGGTCGTAATGCCGTGTTAACAGCGCTTTGCAAATAAAGTGGAATGGTATTCAAAGTCAGTAAGTACTCAGTCATACAAGTGCTACTTGCAGTGAAAGTTAACCCCGAGTGACCCCATAGACATTCAACACAAATTAAAACACTTTTTTTAAAACAGGGATTAATTTGGTTAAACTTGTGGAAAATTCCCAAGTGTTCTGTGATTTTCCACAGCTGTGTCAGAGCACGCAGGAGGTCTGAACTGGCTGCACTTCCTGGTCTAAGTGAGGTGAACGCAGCGGTGGGCATTCTGGGAATTTCTCGGAAACATTCATTTTTGTAAAATTAGCTGCAACAGATAATTAGTCCACTTTTCGTTTGCGCTTCCTGAATCGTGGTGTCACCCAGACGTGGGCTTGTTGTCCTGATCTTTGGGTTAATAACGCTTTAAAATTGTTCCTATTGAGGATGATTTTATTATTTTATGCACCGTCTGAAAACACCTCAGGTCTGATTTGGAGGTGGTGTTTAGACTTAACCAGATGTAAATAAATGGTCCAGAGTCAAACGAACAGTTTGGAAACAACAAACGTGCAGCATGACATTAGAAACAATCTTTTTAAAGTTAAATCAGTCATTGTGCATTTTGCGAATTTGCAGATTTTTATCAACAACCTCTCTCTGGCGGAGAAAAACCAAAACACTGCAGCAGCAGCGCAGCAGACCTGCCATGTACGTCTGGTACCACATCGACATGAGCAGGTGGAGAGGTGAGGTATGTTACTCAGAGCAGGTGAGGGTTATGAAAATGCCAGGAACTGTGGAAACATTGTGTAATAAAAGCAGAGTTTTAAATGATTTTTTTTCTTTTCAGAGCAGTTTACTGAAAACTGGAGGTTTGTCTCATCCTAACACCGACTTAATGCAATTGATTATGAGGATTTGAGCTTTTATTCAGCATAACTATTGTTATTTTTCCATATTTCGACATAAAAACTGATGATCAAAACCAATGTACAATGCTTATATTTCCCCCTTAGTCTGTTTCTGCCAATTAGGACCATCTTTCACTGCCTTACAACCCATTTTCTATACAGATTACGCCTTCGTGGGATCAGAACCCAAAGTGCATTTACTGACATGAAGATTAATTGAGTTACAAAGAAAACCCAACAGGTTTTCACACACTACATTTTTAGATTTAAAAAACCCAAAAACATTCAGGGAGGTCTGCATATTTTCTTGAAATATTAATATTGTTCATAATAACTTCATATTCATGATATTTGTGACAATTATAGCTTTCATATTTGAAATTTACACCAGTTTTCTGCAGGTTTTGAACCCATAAATTAAGGTGGTTATAAACAACTAAAAGGAGACCTTGTTGCATCAAAACCATAAAAAAACACTTAATAAAATCACGTTACAGCTGGAGTAACTGGGACTGCTAGCTGCAGCACACACTTCAGGCCGATTCCTCACGGGTAACTTTCTAAACTGACAGCTTGGATGTTTTACCACCTGACAGCTTTGAGCTCCCTTGCCAAGATGGTTCTGAAACACAGCGACTCGGTTAAAATGTTGCTCCGAGTGTCCAAAATATGCTCCAAGATCTGAGTTTGAGGGAGCAACTTGGATAAGGGGTCATTTGGCACGTAAGTTAGCTAAAGTCGGGGCATCCGTGCTAGCCGGGGGGCTAACTAGCTAGCTTTGTTAGCAAACAAATCTAAACGGATAAAGGGTGAGATATGTTCACGAGTGTGACAAAAAACACATCCAATCTGAGCGTTCGACTGGTAAATTGTGTTCGATATAGGTCAGAGTTTAAGTGACAAACAAGTCAAAACAAGTGGTGTCGACCACCATCATGCCCCCTTAATAAGTCACCCCCCTCCGACAACAAAAGCCCAACTTGGTCCAACAGATTCCTGCACAAGCTTACCGTTGTGGCTCACCCAGCTCGGCTTCAACAGCTTCATCTTCACCCCGAGTTTTTTCGCTTCTTCCCTTCTTTATAATAAAAATACCCCACCAGGCGGTTAGCTGCCTCGCAGAACTAACGCCAAGTCCCCCTCCCTTTGTCTCAAACTCTGCCCAACACTTTGCTGTTTCGGTGGTTGAACTCCATCGCTGCAGCAGGCAGCATCCCCGACTGTAGTAGCCGAGCAGCGGGAAGCAGCACCCACACAGCCAGGCTGACAGGCAGCCCCGGACGGTAAACTCGGTGACACCAGGCACTTCTCGAGTGTTTCCGGTATTTTGACCGCGCACAGGAAGCACTGGGAGTTTTCAGTCTTTTCAAAATAAAACTAACCTAAACTAAACTAACTAAAACTTTATTTATATAGCGCCTTCACATGACCCCAAGGACCAAACAAAGCGCTGCACAGCAGAAATAAACATAAAAAAATAAAAATTAAAACATATAAAACCATTTAAAACCCAACAAAAACATGCAGATAAAATCTAGGCAGGGCAGCAAAAAGTACAAAGCCATCAGTTAACGGGACTCTTCCTGGATAAAAGCTAAAGAATAAAAGTGAGTTTTCAGCTGGCTCTTAAACTTGCAGAGCGTGGTGGCCTGTTTAACCCATGCAGGTAGCTCATCCCAGAGCCTCGGCCCCAGCACCGAGAAAGCACGGCCCCCTCGGGATTGTAGTCTGTGTTTAGGAACGACCAACAGTCCTTGTTGTGCTGATCGAAGGTTCCTTGCGGGAACATAAAGATGGATCAGATCCGCCAGATAACGTGGAGCCAACTCATTTAAACATTTAAAAACAAACACCAGAACTTTAAACGAAATTCTAAAAGAGACTGGAAGCCAGTGTAGGGATACCAAGACGGGCGTGATATCTCCTGGTACCAGCCAGTAACCTGGCTCTGGAGCGTACTTTAATGATTTCTGTGCGGGTCTTTCTCCACGTTTTTATGTAATTATTAAAATAATGTCTAAAAAAACCATTATGTTGGGATACAATTTAGATTTTTGTTTAAACTGTGCAATATTAATTGCTAGAAAATCAATCATTTAAAGAGCAAGTCGCCCCCAATAAACTTTTTTTTGCTGATAAACTATATAAATGTGTGTCTAATCGTGCTGCAGACACGTGTAGTCAATAATTTGGCACTTCAGTGCATCTTAGTTAAAATTGAAATATTCTGCCTAAAACTGGCAGTGTTGTGCCGTTGTCAGGTAAAAACTCTACACTGTATTTTAATTTAAATCTGCCACCGATATTGGCTAAGAGGTATGCTATGATGTAAACTGGTACATTATGATGTCACAATGCTGTCGTGAGCCTGTGTGTGTGTATTTGTTAGCAGCTCCGCCTTCTCGGTCTGCCAGGCAACAGCAAGTGTTGCATTTTTCAAACATGAAGTGGGAGTGGAGTTAGACTCTGGTAGGGGTTGACTTGCTCTTTAAAGAGCAAGTCACCCTGTACCAGATTCTTACTCAACTCCCACTTCCTGTTTGAAAAATGCAACAATTGCTGTTGCCTAGAAGACCGAGAGGGCGGAGCTGCTAACACACACACACAGGCTCACAACAACATTGTGACATCATATGGTACCAGCTAACATTCTAGGGTACCCCTTAGCCAATAGCGGTGGCAGATTTAAATTAGAATACAGTGTAGAGTTTTTACCTGACAACGGCAAAACACTGCCAGTTTTAGGCAGAATATTTCAATTTTAACTAAGATGCACTGAAGTGCCAAATTATTGACTACACGTGTCTGCAGCACTATTAGACACACATTTATATAGTTTATCAGAAAAAAGTTGATTTGGGGGGGACTTGCTCTTGTCTGGAGTAATTTTGAGAATAAAAAACTCCTAGTAAATTACGTTGTGGCTATGTAAAGGACATTCTAAATAGTAAAAGGGAGACATCATGACAAAGACAACATGTAAGAATTATTTTGCATGAGTTATTTAAAGTGTATTTTATTTGTTTAAATCAAGTTACAGTGTGCTGCATGTTGGACAAATTTAGTGTGTAATCATCCAAAAACTCAATTATAACCTAATCAATACAAAAAATAAGATTAAATTTAATGGAGCCCCCCAACAAAAAGTATATTTGATGTATATTAAGGATTATTTCATTGTTTTGCTTTGACTTTTGAAGCATGAACCTTCATTAGTGAACAAATCCCCCAAAAATGATTATATAAATTGTTATTTTGGTTTCTAACAACAGAAATATGAGATGAACCATCATTATACTGTCAGTTAAACAAAAATCTCAGTTTCATTTGTTCAAAAGATTCAGCGACACTCCAGCGTTAATTAGAAATATTAATTTTTTTCATACAGAATGTAGGATAAAAAATCCATAAACACGTTTTAAAATATTAAGGCCAACACAGAAAAGGCTTTCTGCTTCACGATTTTGTCAAATTTCTTCCCAAAAGAAAAAAAGGTTAAAAAAATAAAATAAATAAATAAAAGACAACAAAGTCATAAAAATAGTAATGAAGAAGAATAATAGAGTAACAAACAATAAAAAAAGACATGTAATGCCATAAAATGGGAAGAAATTGATCAAATAAGAAAGTAAAGTCACAAGCATTCCTTTTACAACAAACCTTACATAACATGAAGACAATCATATTTTTTTCTTTACAATTAAATTGTACTGATCACAAATGTTTGAAATTTACTGCATTTTCTCTGTTCAGGTTAAAAATCTATCCATGTATTTGTAAACAGTGACTACATCATTTGGTGATGCACTCATTTCAGAAACGTTTCTGCTAAAACCTTCAAAGGCTGGTTGAAGAAGCCACATGTGATAAAAATAACTATCTTAAACACGCAGGTGTAAAAACATCTTTTAAATCTTTCAACTGCTTTAAAAATACAGAAAAAACAGTAGCTTCCACAAAACAACCTTCATAAAAGGCAAGAATTATTTACAAAACAACAAAAATGTGTTTCAATTAGCGTCAACTTGGACAATATTTATTTAAATGCCCACAGAGTATTCCCACAGGAAGTCAGTTAGAGATTTTTTGTTTTCGGCAGGTGGAGACTTCACGGACCTGACGTGCCTCTGAAAATGGCCTCGATCTGCTCCAGAGTTTTTCCTTTGGTTTCAGGGATGAAGAATATAGTGAAGACAATGTTGAGGGCACACATAACAGAGAACAACCAGAAGGTACCGGCGCTGGTTAGACCGTCCTGGGGACAGAAGAAAAGTTTGCATAATCTGGATTTAATCTGGATAGATTAAAATCAATATGGTGCAGAAAAATAGACAACATTAAAATAAAACGCACGGTTGCATTTAAAGGGACTTTACAGTTTTGAATTTTTATGCTCGTGATCGCCCCCTCAGTCCAAAAGCTTAACGGCAGCTTCAATAGTAGGCTTGTGCACGAGGCGCGCATGCTGTACGTGCACACTCCTTAACGAAAATAACAGCCGAGACAGTACTGTGTGTGTGTGTGTGTGTGTGTGGCCCGGAGGACAGAGGACAGGAGAACGAGCAGCTACTTAATTAAATAATTTGGTTCTGTACCTTTCTCTTCAGCACAGCCGACAAAGGTTTAAGATGGGTCAGTCCTCAGATCATGAAAATTGTTCCAAAATGAAAGTTGAACCCACATCTTTTTTATCTGTGAATTCAATGCCGTTCGACGAGTCTCAAATAAAAATTTGGGCATCTTACTGTAAAAAAATATACCATTAATGTAAAAAAGAAACTCTAAATAAACTATGTTCACATCCAGAATCAAACCCAGCTCTTCTGCACGAGAGTCCAACATCTTACTAGGTGAGCTAAAGCTCCAGTGACATCCTTTGTATCTGTAACATTTATATCCTTGATGACAGCTGAAACAACGTTCAAAGAACGGTTCGGAGTGAAAATGGCTATTTTGTTGCTAATTTGCAGGAAATATCTAGAAGAAAGTTCTACAGAAAGTAGCTAAGGGTCCTCAGAAATGTAGCTAGCTTTGTCACTAGGCGTTAGGAACAGCGACAAAGTGGCACTGCCTCTCTCTCTGCTGCTAAAGCTACGGATAGCAAATGCTACGGGCGATGCCTGAGCGTGAACGCGCATGAAGCAGCCTGCTCGACCCGAGCATCTCTCTTTTTGTGTGATTTTACAGAAAAACAGGCAATCACAGTAAAAATGCCAGGGCTCATTCTACAGGACCAGGGCATTGCAGGAGAACGTATGAAGAAGACATTTATTATTTCTATACATGTTTTGGCTGTCAAACTTCCATAATGCCCCTTTAAAGGAACAGGTAATCAACTTATTTGTGTCTGTGGTTCTTATGTTTGACCACAAGGGGTCACTGTAACCCAAAGCAGTTTCAAAACTTGAGGAGCCTGAATTTTTGTCTCTTAGAAGACAAACTTACTCAGGGTGGAAGATAAATAAAAGTACGTTTAAATACAACGGATATCAGGTATCCGGTTTTATCCCAGTTACCCACCATCATGTTCTGGAAGGTCTTGGTGACGACGAACGCCATGCCCCAGTTAGTGAGGACTACAGCAGCACTAGCAAACCCCCTCACCCTGATGGGGATGACCTCCGACATGATCAGCCACGGGATCGGTCCCCAGCCGATAGCAAACCCTGGTCACACACAAACGCCGTTAAAACAACGCCAGCCAACAGACACACAAGTTAAATACAAGCTCACCTGAGATGAAGACGGCCATGCTGGCCAGGGCCAGCCAGGTCAGGTCCTGGTGGGGTTCTGCACCCACCGCTGGTTTAGACATCAAGTAGAAATAAACCCCGAACGCCGCGGTGCTGACTATCATGGCCGCACCTTTAGTGGGTTCAACAAGGAGAAAGCGTGGAGAAGTGAGGCAGGTGAAAGAGCTACAACAAACCCTAACAAAGGAGGACGATGACAACAAGCATCACTTCCTGTCTCTCGTTAGCTTCGTCTTGTTTACATTCCTGCATTTCTGGATTCCCCAAATTCCCCAAAGGCAGATTAAATAAAGGTGACGTCAGCAGAGAGCAAAGTCTAGAGTCTGAGGAACAGAGAGGACCTCAGCAGATGTGAGAGAAAAATCATTGGAGTGATTAAAAAGTCCTCCAACACAGTAGAGCCTAAACTGAGAGCCGGCGAAATAGAAGATACCCGAGATGACGAGGAGGACTTTCCTCCCAGCCTTGTCCATTATCACTGCTGCTATTCCAGTAAAGACCACCTGGATCAGACCCACCAGGACTGACGCCAGGTCACTGTTCTGGAACACAGAAGCACCAGTGAGCCCAAACGAAGGACAGAATCAGTCGCAGATCTCTAACAGCTTCTAATCCTCAAGTTGTTATCATGAGGCTAGAGGGACAGATGGTCGGTGGGATGACGAGGCGAGAGCTCGTGGTACCTGGAAGTGAGCCTGTTCAAATATATTCTGAGCGTAGAACATGATGGCGTTGATCCCCGTCATCTGCTGGAACGCCATGAGCATGACGCCGACCATCAGAGGCTTGTAGATCCCGGGATCCTTCAGGTCGGACAAACGGAAGCTCGAACCCTGAGGGACAAGAACCGCAGAGAGAAAAGCTTTTAACACACAGGAGGCGAAAGACCTCGCCGGAAGCGCCGGCGCGCCCTCGCCGGGCTCACCTGCTCCCCGCAGGCGTCCTCGATGCGAGCGCATTCCCACTCCACGGGAGCGTCCGGCCCTCGCAGGTAGCGCAGGGCGTCTTCGGCCTCCTGCCTCTTCCCATGGAACAGCAGGTAGCGCGGCGTTTCGGGCATGAAGTACATGGACACCATCAGCAGCGTCGGGGGAACGGAGCAGCAGATCGCCAGCCAGCGCCAGTCCATGAACATACCTGCAGACGCGGGCCACACACGTGCTTATTTAGTATGCAAGGAAGCCTGGAGCTGCAGAACAGGAAGCAGGAAGTGGTGTGATTCTGGTACCAGAATGCACTCTGTCCAGATGAGTCCTACTTCCTGATCTAGTTTCGCCCTCAAGGTTTAATAATCTTTGCTGCCTTCACCTGCCGCCCGTTTCTTTTGCTTCCTCATTTCTTTGTTCTTAGCCACATCGTGCCCCCCCCCCCCCCCCCCCCCGCCGCAGCTCTTTAATCAGTCTGTTTGCTTTCCTTATCACGACACATCACTACAGAGGACAGAACCAGATGATCAGACTCTGAAGTGACGTCCTGATTCACTCAGGCTCCGGAGGGGCCGCGGCGACACGTGACGACGCGCGTCACAAGACGCTGAAATTAGGAAGGCACGAATGATATGCAGCAAACAAGATTAGCGAGATGCAGTTATTCCAACGCAGGCCAGGCGGCAGGAGCTGCCATCTGCAGACGAATCCGGCGTTATCTGAGGTCGATCGCGTCGCCTGACAACAGTTTGTCACCTTTTCCTTCCAACTGTAAGATCCCAGAGTCACAAAGGAGTCGAGATAAACCACCGAACGCCCCACAGCGCTGCCCGGCGAGGTTTGACCGAGTTATAAAGCCAAATAATCAGGATTTATTGGTCTGAGGGCGGAACGGGTCAGTGAGGTCTTAAATGATTCACAGATCAGCTGCTCCCTGGGTTTCACGAGCCTGAAGGAACAGAAACGAGCCCGGGGAACAATTCAGCAACAACATACCTGCCAGGTAAACTCCCATGATGCCGAGCACCACCATGAGCTGAACGCAGGAGCCCAGCAGGCCGCGGACCCTTTCGTGTGCCGTCTCAGAGATGTAGAGCTGAGCGAACAGAGGAAAGGAGCAGGTTTATTCACCAGAACACGAACACTCAGGCCTCAGTGTCATTTTATCCGGGTTTCACGGCATCGTGGAGAAAATCTCAGGGTTCGGGGTCAGGATGCCCAAACCATCAACCCCCCACCACTGTGCTGCTGAGGGGCCAACTTGCTGGGTTCTAACAAGAGTTTCGGTGGTTTGTTCTGAGGAAACTTAAAGAGCAAGTCACCCCCAAATCAACTTATTTTTGTGATAAACTACATAAATGTGTGTCTAATCGTGCTGCAGACACGTGTCGTCAATAGTTTTGCACTTTAGTGCATTTTAGTTAAAATTTTAATTTTCTACCTGAAACTGTTAGTGTTGTGCCGTTGTCAGGTAAAAACTTTGAATTGCATTTGAATTTAAATCTGCCATCGCTATTGGCTAAGAGGTATGCTATGATGTAAACTGGTACATTATGATGTCACAATGCCATTGTGAGCCTGTGTGTGTGTATTTGTTAGTGGCTCCGCCCTCTCGGTCTGCTAGGCAACAGCATTTGTTGCATTTTTCAAACATGAAGAGGGAGTGAAGTACGTTTCTTGTAGGGGGTGACTTGCTCTTTAACAAATCTGAGCTGTGTTGCCGTGTTCGGATGTTTCTCACCGTCGTCGTCGTTCTAACGCGTCTTCAGATGAAAGCTTCTGCTCTCAGAGAAGGCGTCAATGAGGTAAACGTTTGGTTAAAAGTGAAAAAACAGTTGCATCTCACCGGGACTACCAGCGACGTGACGCCGCTGGCGAGGCCGGTGAGGACCCTGCCAACGTAGAGCATGAACACGTTCTGAGCGGCGATGATGATGGTGAAGCCGAAGACGAAGGGCAGGGCGCAGAGCATCAGACTCACTTTCCTCCCGATCTTCTCCACCATCCAGCCTCCCAGGAGGCCGCCCACGGCTGCTCCCACCGTCACTATGGACTAAAACACACACAGCTGCATGAAATCACCGCCGCGGTTGCCAAAACAACCACTACCGCTGAGCTAATCTCCCAGAACTACTGAGGAAGTTTGGTTGAAACTCTTAAATGTGGATCTCAGTCCATTTTGTTGTGATGACACAGGAGGACATGAAGCTGCTGATCTCAGCTCTGCCTCCAGACATGTGACGTTGCATCATCACGGCCTTGCGGCCGACACCGTACCCCGAACCACGACGCCTGGTCTTCATTCAGCCTCAGACGAGCGTTGGCATCGTTCATGAGCTCGGGGATGGCGGGGGAGCTGTATCCCAGCACGAATCCGAAGCTCAAGGGGCCCAGAACGGCGGCGAACGTGGCCAGGTACAACTTCCCGTTCTTCACTTTGCTGCGGACAGACAGAAGAGACGATTCAGGATGGCTGTGAATTCAAATCTTTGAGTACAAAATTCTTCATAAACTAAAAAAAAAAGGTTGCTGTGATCGAGACGTGCAAATCCTAATGGCCTGGATTTGATATAGTGCCTTCTAGAGTCCTGGAACCCCCCAAGACGCTTTCCAACACAATCAGTCATTCACCCATTCACACACTGGTGGGGGTGAGCTACGATGTAGCCACAGCTGCCCTGGGGCGCACTGACAGAGGCGAGGTTGCCGAGCACTGGCGCCACTGGTCCCTCCGACCAAGGACACAACAACAGCGACAAACTGAGCGGGATTCGAACCTGCAACCTCCCGATTGCAGGGCGAGCACATAACTCCTGTGCCACCGTTTCCCAACTTGAAGATATTTAGCTTTTTAACATGTTTCCTGCTTCAGCTCTCCTGGCTAAAACTGATGAGTAACTATTACGCTCTAGCAGAACCCGATGAAAGTATTTTAAGGTATAATCTGAATAAATGACAGGGTTGGGGCCAGGAGGGCATCATTGGCGGTTTTCAACAGGGGCCCACAGGGGCCTGGGCCCCTATAGAACCGGCCCTGGCCCCCTGTTATGGCCCCTGTGCTGAAGAGATCGGATTTTTTTTCCCGCGCTGCCTCGGAGATGGGAACTAATGCGCTGCAGCGTTTCAAACGGAGCCTTTAGAGCGCAGCACACTCTGTGGACAGAACTGTTTACCCGGTGGATTTTTGAATAAAAGATTAAAAATAGTTTTAATGGGACCCGTAGAAATTCTTGAGGACGACTATCGGAAAAGACGCTGAGAGACGAAGGCAAGCAATACAGTTTATTTTCCTGACATCAATGAATTTCCTTTGGCAAAATTGTGCACAAGCACAAAATTTGTCATATGGCGACGAAAAAGAATTTTGATATTGCACTAAATTTTCCCTTTTTTTCTTGCGCCCCCACGAAAAAATACTGGCCCCACTGTGGCCCCCCTGGAAATTTGGCCTAGAACCGCCCCTGAGAGCATGTTTTAGATGTTTATTGTGAGAGCAATATGGAAACCCTTTAACAAGCTCTCACTTTTGGGCCTTTAATTGACTTTTATCTGAGATGCTCGTGAAGACGTGAGAAGCTATGACGTGAACGGAGCTACGCTGACCTGAGGTAAGCATCCTGCTCCGCTATGAGTCCAGTAGGGCTCGGATGTCCGCTCTCAGCCTCCAGCAGAGGCCGTCTCTCATCCTGGATGTCCATGCCGACGGCAGCGATCCTTCCCCGGTCTTCAGCTTCTTCTCGTGTTCACCTCTGGCATGGATCCCCGGTCAGGCGAGCCTGAGACAGAAACACGACGACGTCAGTTTTTACAAACTAAACCTCAAACTCGAGCAAATAAAACTGAAACATACTTGCGTTTCGGTACCCGAGCAGTGACCACCAAGGTGATCAGGAGAAGCACTTCCTCCACTGGTGGACAACTGCTTTATCAACATTCAGGTCAGCTGATCAGCGTGTGGTGTCTGCCCGTTTGTTTGATTTTCAAAACAAAAGTCTTTGAGTACTTCCTCTTTTTTATGTCACATAAAGAAGGCAGGTATATTAGATTAGTGTTAAACACGGAACTCGAACAGTAAAACAATTCATAATTTCCTTCCACAGCAAATAACTGTAGCGGGTTTTCGTCTCTGTTTTAGGCTAGTAGCATAAATGCTAGCAAGGTTCTAGCATATTTTCCCCATCATGGTAAAAAAGGATATGAGCGACACTACATGTGACTTTTATAGATTACTGTAAGTATCAACGCATAAATGAAACACTATTTATGAGTGAATACCACTCGTGAATACATGCATATACAATATATGTCGATGGTGAATACAAACGTTTCTCCAGTCTGACGTGATGTAAACGACACCGGAAACGTGGAGAGATAAACATCTTGTTTCAAGTCACACATCTTTGTTTAGATAATAAAAGCCTCGTGAAACCATCGCGTGAAACGAAGAGTTGGTTTCTATGGAAACGTCCAGATTAAACGTACACCGCGACAATTCAGTTAAGACAAACAGCGATAAAGGTGCAAACACCCTTTAAGCGATTTTTTTTGTAAAATACATTTTCCCGTACTAATGGACTCACATGAGACCAACAACCAACCGGTAAGCAGCAAAAGTAAATATTAAAGTTTTTTTGTGGGTTTGTGGGAGACAAAGTTTCGTAACGGCAAAGATGAACTTTGAACCCTTTTAGGTCTCATTCTAATTCATTTAGTAATTACTCTTGTAAGAGCAACACCATGACTCTTACTAATGGGACCTTGATGGTTAAATAAAGAATAAAAAAAAGAACCATAGTCATGGAAAACGTTTATCAAACTGCACCCCTTACATTCAAACTATGTGAACACGAGCTTTATTTATTTATTTATTTATACTTCAGTTTAGTTGTTCTTCTAGTGTTTTATTTCTTTTGTAATTTACTTCTAAGACTGAATCTCTGGCGTTTATTTATTTATTTATTTTGCTTTTGTAGCATGGAGCCAAGCAGAGTTCATGTACAGCTGCATCAGAGGAGAGGCTGGAGGAGACCAAGAGAAAAATAACCACCACCAGTTTGAGTGGAAATCATCATCCAAACAATGGGAGTCCCTTTCAACACCCAGACCAGCTGGGGATTCTCATCATTCAGAATAAAGTCGCTGAGCAGTGAGAGTCTCTCAGAAATGTAGAATAACACCATCAAGAGTGAACAAATAAGGCTTCAGCTTGACTGTCTGCAGTGTGCTTTGAGGCATTTATCTTTAAAGAGCAAGTCACCCCCTACCAGATTCTTACTCACCTCCCACTTCCTGTTTGAAAAATGCAACAAATGCTGTTGCCTAGGAGACCGAGAGGGCGGAGCCAATTACAAATACACACACACAGGCTCACAACAACATTGTGACGTCATATGGTACCAGCTAATGTTCTAGGGTACCTCTTAGCCAATAGAGATGGCAGATTTAAATCCAAATGCAGTGCAGAGTTTTTACCTGACAACGGCACAACACTGACAGTTTCAGGCAGAAAATAAAAATTTTAACTAAAATGCACTAAAGTGCAAAACTATTGACGACACGTGTCTGCAGCACGATTAGACACACATTTATATAGTTTATCAGAGAAAAAAGTTGATTTGGGGGTGACTTGCTCTTTAAGAAGATGAGCAACATTTGAGCATAAAAATCCACCCAGATGAAACCCTTCAGACATTCAGGCTGTTTGTTTTTGTTTTAATAGTTGCAGAAATGGGAAAGCGGCGATGGAAAAGCACCAGTATGAGAGAGCTGTCATCTGCTTCTCCAACGCTGTCTCTCTACAGCCAGAGCAGGTTTGGACCAACAACCAGAAGAACCGTTTTGATCCAGTTGAGCTTTCAGAGTTTTCAAAAATATTAGCTTCATCTAAACCTTCAACTTGCATTTTGGATCCAATCCCAACCAAATTATTTAAAGATGCATTTCCTTTGGTTACTGCCCCCATTCTAGATATAATCAATCTATCCTTAGTAAATGGATATGTACCACAAGATTTTAAGGTTGCTGTAATCAAACCTTCACTTAAGAAGCCTTCTCTGGATCCAGATGACCCAATGAATTATAGACCAATATCTAACCTTCCATTTTTATCCAAAGTCCTGGAGAAAATAGTGGCCATCCAAGTATGTGAGCATTTAAACACTAATGCTCTGTTTGAGGAATTTCAGTCTGGTTTTAGAGAGTATCACAGCACTGAAACTGCATTAGTGAGAGTTACAAATGATATTCTCATGGCCTCAGATAAGAATATTGTGTCTGTTCTAGTCTTGTCAACACAGTTGATCACAATGTTCTTGTAGAAAGGCTTGAACATGTTGTAGGGATCAAAGGAGCAGCGTTAGGCTGGTTTAAATCCTACCTGTCTGACAGATTTCATTTTGTAAATGTACATGACAAATCTTCTTCATACTCAAGGGTTACTTGTGGAGTACCACAGGGTTCAGTGCTTGGACCAATTCTTTTTACTATATATATGCTCCCAATTGGTAAAATCATTAGATGGCATGGGATAAACTTCCACTGTTATGCTGACGATACTCAGTTATATTTATCCATTAACCCTGATGAACCTAATCGGTTGGGTAGATTACAGGCTTGTCTTGAGGACATAAAAAATTGGATGACTCTAAACTTTTTGCTTTTAAATCAAGACAAGACTGAAGTTATCATCTTTGGACCAGAAATCCAGAAAAGGAAATTGCTTAGCCAATCACCTGACCTGAATGGCATTGCATTAATCTCCGAGAACAAAGTAAGGAACCTTGGTGTTATCTTTGACCAGGACATGTCATTCAAATCCCAGGTTAAACAGGTTTGTAGGATTTCCTTTTTCCACCTTCGGAATATTGCTAAGATTAGAAGCATCCTTTCCAGGAGTGATGCTGAAAAACTAGTTCATGCATTTATTACATCAAGACTGGATTACTGTAATCCATTACTCTCAGGAAGTCCACAGAATGTAGTTAAAAGTCTTCAGCTTGTCCAAAATGCTGCAGCTAGAGTTCTGATGAGAATTAAAAAGAGAGATCATATCTCTCCTGTCTTAGCTTCCCTACATTGGCTACCTGTTAAATTCAGAATAGATTTTAAGATCCTTTTTCTCACATATAAAGCTCTTAATAATCAAGCTCTATCATACATCAGTGATCTGATTGTTCCATACGTTCCTAACCGAGCACTTCGCTCCCAGACTGCAGGTTTACTGGTGGTTCCCAGAATATCTAAAATTAGGATGGGAGGCAGATCTTTCAGTTATCAGGCTCCTCTCTTGTGGAACCAGCTCCCAGTCTTAGTCTGTGAGGCAGACACTTTGTCTACTTTTAAGAATAGGCTTAAAACATTTTTATTGATAGAGCCTATGGTTAAAATCTGATGTTAGCCTAAATCTGGACAAGTGGGGGAGTAGAGGGAGGTGGAGTGTACAGTCGGTAAAGTCGACTCTCCCTTGCCCTGCCTCCAACATGCCTCCATCTAAAAGGCTAGGTCATCCAGAGTTAGCTCTGTAGTTATGCTGCTATAGGCTTAGACTGCTGGAGGACACACTGACCACTTTTCACACTCTACTACTTTCTTCTACAATCTGCTCTTTAACTGTATTATTTCCTGCTATTTCAGCTGTTAACTTTATTTTCTCTCTAAGTGTTTTTCTCCCCAGAAGAAGCTACAACGATGTTCTGCTGAGCTGTGGTGGCCTCATGGAGGGGGCCATCGTCTAGCACACTGCTGCTAACCACTTAAACATTCTCCCTCTTCTACTAGTTTACCCGTTTAATTATAGATCCACTTGGATGAATACAATAAAGTTTATCTCTCACCAAATAGAATATTTACTAAGAAATCACAATTTAACCATAGACACACTACTTTGTCTTGTGTCTTGCGTGTGTGTGCATGTGTGTGCGTGTGTGTGCGTGTGCGTGCATGCGTGTGTGTGTGTGTGTGTGTGTGTGTGTGTGCGTGTGCGTGCATGCGTGTGTGTGTGTGTGTGTGTGTGTGTGTGTGTGTGTGTGTGTGTGTCTTCTCGATCCCCAGTGAGTCGTGGAGGATGGCTGCTTATACTGAGCCAGGATCCTCTGGAGGTTTCTTCCTGATAAAAGGGAGTTTTCCTCTCCACTGTCGCTGCATGCTTGCTTAGTATGAGGATTGCTGTGTTCCTTATATAGGAAACATTATTTCTGATTGGCTTAACGAACTGACCTGAATTGGAATGTTTATCATGTGAAGTGCCTTGAGACGACTCTTGTCGTGATTTGACGCTATATAAATAAAATTGAATTGAATTGAAACAAAGAAACTTTGTGCTTCTAATGAGTTGTTGATCACCTCCGAAGAAAGATGTCTAACTTAGTCAGTTTTTGTGAGGTGAAACTCGTGATTTAGTGACAGAGGTTCACTCACAACACCGACAGATCACACGTGATTGAGTGATGTCACCTGAGAGCATGCATGTTTTTTGATTTGAACAACTATTACTGCTGTGTTTCAGGCTGAGCTGTACGTGAACCAAGGGGAAGCCTATCTCCAGATGTGTGACTTCCAGTCAGCAGCTGCATGTTTTAACCAAGCCTCTTTCATGGAGCCTGGAGTCTTTGGAGACCGCTTGGCCATCATCTACGATCTCCAGGTGAAGCCCCTACGCCATTTACCTGTTTTGATGATGAGATTATGGCACGCCTGTGCTTAGGGAGTAAATTATTAGCTTTCTCTTGTCTGATGTGTAACATTCATTAAGTGATGAGCTGTGGGAGATCTAGTTAGACTCAGGATTAGATCCAAGTCAGGCGGATGGTTTGTGATGTTGCTGATTCCTGGTGTCTTCAGGGCCAGCGTTTGTTTGACCGCGGCCTTTTCCTCGACGCCATGGAGGCTTTCAGCAAAGCTGCTGAAGTGAAACCTGAATGCAAGACTTACAAAATCAGAAGGTCGGGATATGAACACCAACATCTGCTTCAGTTTAAATGTTGCTGATCTGATGGATGCATAATAAAACAACATTAAAGCTGATTTTTATTTTCCTTAAAGAGCAAGTCACCCCCTTTTTCTGATAATAATATTAAGAAAATATCATTTCTATAGCGCCTCTCAAGAAAAAAAACACGAGGCTCTTCACAAAAGCAAAAAATGTAAAAATATAAAAAAGCAGTTAGAAAATGTTTAAAAATATACTTTAAATGAGCAAAAAATAGACAATTGTGATGAAAAAATGTTAAGAGAGAGAGAGAGTGAACA